TTTTTTTTTTTTTTGGTACGGAGATCGAACTCGGACCCTTACACTTGCAAAGCAGGCAGCAGAACCACCCAGCCCAAAGACCTTTAATTTTATGTATAGGGTTACAATACACAATTTTATTGATTATTTGAAAGACTTTTAGAATACAAAAACTGTTATTACTTCAAGAGTTTAACAAATACCTATCTTCAAATTTAGAACTTTCCTTGTCTATAACAACATAAATAAGAGGTCTCCAGGGACTGACAAAGCAGAGAATCACCTACCAGATAGTCAAGTGGTTTATGTAAATCCTAGTGGTTTTCTAGAAGGAAGTAATGCTTTTCAGTTACTTTTTCACATACTTTTGTTTTCATCATGCAATATTTTTCTAAAAGGAAAGAGAGACATTTGCCTAGATAATAGGACATATTATTTAGGTTTGGTCTTCATGTTTGAAGGCTTTGAGCACCACATGAAAAGACCCAGAGCACATTGTGATGACAAGTAAATATACGTAAAATCTACTGGAACATCACAAGCAACACTCTAAGTCACACCCCACTCCAGATGGAAACACAGGGTATATGCATGCCTCTGCGTGGACAACTGAACTCCATCCAGAGGCCAGGAGCCTGGTTAAGAACCCAATTTTCCTACCAAGTCACTGAGAGATAAGGAGAAAAGTCACATAGCCTCCCAGAAATCCTGTTTTCTCTCATGAAAAAATGAAACCAACAATAATCCAAGCTAATTAATGTTGTGCAGTCTCTGAAAGTATACCACTCTGAAACACGGTGTGTAAAATTATCAGTACTGTCTTAGCACATCTTTAGAGCTGATCTTCAAGACTGCTTCGATTCATGCAAGCAGAATCTAACTTTCAGAGACAACAATGAGTAGCTTGAAAGAAGCAAGTTGCTGAATGAGTCTTCTCTCAAAGTGTGGTAAGAATCTACTGCTATGATGAAAAGAAGATGAGATATTATCAAACTAATTCACCCTGCCTAAGGAAATGACACCGTGAATCTTGGTACTTTCCCAGCTGGCTGTCCTTTCACATTCGTTTCAAATCTCCAAAAGGTCAAATTGCACTGTAACTGTAGATTAATGTATGTGATAGAAAAGACAAGGTATGAGTT